ATGAGAATTCTTTTGAGCAAACTTCCTCGTCCATGGATTGTAGATGAGAAAAAAGATGATGGCTACACTGCCCTCCACTTGGCAGCTCTCAACAATCATGTAGAAGTAGCTGAACTTCTTGTCCACAATGTAAGTAAACTCACATTCACAACTGTTCCTCTTTTAGTCTAATATTTAAAACATCTTGAGCTGAATAATATTAAAATAAAATCTGTATTAGTCTAAAAAAAAAAAGAATAAAAAGTAAAATATGATATTTTCTTTCCAGTAGCTTAAGGTTTGGAATATGTAAATCAATCTTTTTATTAGATCTACATTTAACTTATTGGGTGGAGGAAATCTTTTCTTTTTTTTTTTCTGACCTCTTTTACAAAATTTCTTTACAATCCTGCAACTGTATAAATTGACCCTCTTGACTCAGAAAATTTGCTTTTATTTACTATATGATGGTAGTAAATTTGCTTTATACAAATGTAGTGTAATATATTTAACTATGATTTGACATCAGAGATTCATGGTAGTTCAAATCAATGTTAAACATTTTCAAAACAGATAATCTGGTCATATAATTTATGTATATGTGTAATTACATGTTTTTGAGAAGAAAAAGCCATTTTAGGTTGGCATTATATTTCACATCCTGCTGCCCATCTGTCTGATTAGAGGTGAGTCTGATCTGATTAAAGAATAAACTTCACCACTCATTTAACCTCTCTCTCAGTTTAAGATTAACACTGTCCTGTTGAGGATAGAATATTAGTTTGTGGTGACTGATTAAATTTTGGAGGGGGACAATGCAGTGACAATACACAACTTTTAAATCTATTATTAAATTTAAATTTAGATATTTGTATTTTATATCTCTAAACATGAAAAATATTAAGATCTAGTAAAAGCTAATCTTGTTTTAATAAACAAGGCAAGAAAATTATTTTTTTGGTCAAGTTTTGGTTAAAAATGTTTTATCATAAACTAAATGCTCAACTGCCTCTTGAAAATCTGTTTATGGCCCTCCTGCTCACCAATTTGACCCAGGTACAGTTGTGATCATGTGTTATAGTAGCTGCAGAACATAGACTACAGTTTAAAGATTGAATAGATCAAAATAAATATTTATTTCGTAAATATTTTAATGGTGTTTTTATTATGATACTAACACTTATAAATGATAACAAAGTTCAAAAAAAAAAGATTACAGGATGGTTTTAAATTTTTTGAGGCATTGTTTTTCAGCACAATTCTCTGACAATGTTGAAAATCTAGTCTGGAGCTGTGCTCTCTCTAAAATATATTTAATTGAATGAAATGAGAATTCAACAGCCTAAAGTAAAAATTTCTGAATTGTATTTTGACACTGCTATCAATAACTGTTGGCCTACAAAGAACAAAGTACTTTATCAAATGATGTTATTTTGTAATTTTCAATTTATCACTATTGGTGTTCTGTCAAACTAAAATCATTGCAGTAGTTCATAATGTTAACAATGCTAACAATTTTATTTATGGTGAATATTTTTTTTTCACTACATAAAATTCTGTGTTTCTGGTGATATTTTTGCCTTGACTCATTAATGATCTCATTTTGAATTAACAAAGTACTTGCAAGAGAACTTTAATTCATTATTTCATAAAAATTATTCCTATTTTATTGTACGTATGTGTATTTTATATTTATGCTGTGTGTGCATATATTTATATGAATGTGTTTATATATTCTGTATGTTAGTTGACTGAAATTTTCACGCTTCTCGCCTGTGAAACTGTTCCATTTTGTGTTCAAAATTTAAATGACATCAATATTTATCTTCTTTAATCCAGTACTTCTTCCTCAATTTCTGTTTCTCCATAAATGTAATAGTTCGTTTATATATGTAAATTTTATGTTAGACTATGAAACAAGTTTCTGTAAATTATTGTGAAGTAAATTTTAATTTGATATTGGTATGCAATTCAGCTCATGAAACTTTATACAAGTCAAAAACGCCAAGAAACTTCTTATCTAGAGTGTATCTATATATCTTAATAAATAAATGTTTTCTGTTAAATTGTCATTTATATATGTATTTGGTTTTATTTGTAGATATGTATGCATGTATTTATATGGTTATTGGATTCCTCCAAGGATAAACATGTATGTTTAGCTTTCAATGATCATCAGATATATATATATGAAAGGCAATGGTGGTCGAAAACTTCTGATAAAAGATCGCCGTGACAGGGTCATCAAAAATGTAAAAAAGACTCGTAGGAACCTATGTTATGTATGAGTTTGTGTGTTTGTGTATGTATATATAGAGCTTGTTCTTAGGTGTGTGTTTTTACATGGAAGCACAATAGTGTTTTGGATGACCTGGTCAAAAGAAATAATAATCTAAAGTCTGGTCATCTAATTATGTGTCTAAAGCAAACAAGCAAATGTCATAGAAAAAATCTCATAGTTTTGTGTGTATGTGGTCTGCTAGGTATATATGTGTATATAAATGTGTGATATGTGAATGGGTTTATAAATGTATGAAATAAAAAAATTAAATAGTACATAATTGCTGAATAAAATGTTAATATTTAAAAAGTATAGTTAAAAAACGAAAAAACCACATCTTTTTAAAAATTTGTCACTTTTTGATCATGTATATGTGTCATCACCCGTCATTTAGAACACGGTGAAAGACATAAAAAAAATTTTAAGAAATGTTTGATAACAAATTTTTTTAAGCTGTGGGTAGTATTTCATATTCAGATTATTGTGTTTTTTCTAATTTTTACCCAAATAACATGCCAAAAATATATAAATTTATTTCAGGAAGAAGTTTAAATTAAAAATTGTTTGTTTACAAATTTCTTAAAATTTAAATTCGTTTTTTTTTAAACAATTCATTCTAATTTATGCCACTCATTTTCCTTTCCTATTTACCTTTCTTTCTTTCTTTCTTTTTCTTTTTTCTTTTTTATTTCTTTCTTTCTTTCTTTCTTTCCGTTATCGATTTTTCTTTCTTTTTTCCTTTCTTTCCTTTTACCTTTATTACTTTGGCTGCCCTTTCTTTCTTTTTTTTACTTTTCCTTTCTTTCTTTTAACGATTTTTCTTTCTTCCTGTCCTTCTTTCATTTTACCTTTATTTATATAGCTGTCTTTTTTTTTTAATTATTCTCTTTTTCCTTTCTTTTACTGCTCCTTCTCCTATTTTCTTTATTTTCTTTATTTATTTTCTTGACGATTTTTTTCCTTTTTTTCTTTCTTTGGCTTTGTTTTTTTTTTTTTTCTTTCCTCTTTCTTTTTCTTTTTTTTTTTTTTCTTTGGCTGCTGTTTTCTTTTTGTCTTTTTCCTTTTCTTTTTTTTTTGTACTGATTATTCATTAATTTGTTCTTTCTTTCTTTTAATCGTCTCGTCTTTTTTTTTTTTTCTCTCTCTCTCTCTCTCTCTTCTTCATTTGAAACCCCCGGCAATATTTTTTTTTCTTTTTCATGTTTTGCTGCTATTTTTTTCTTTTCTTATCATCTCTTTTTCGTTTTGCTTTCAGCTTCTTTAATCTCTTCTTCGCCCTTTGTCTCCATTTCCCTCCTATTCTTAAATTGTCATTCATTCTTTTTCTTCAAAATAATCTTTTTCACCAGTTTTCATTCGCTTCCTGTTGTCTCCGTTTCTTCTTCTTCTTCTTCTTCTTCTTCTTCTTCTTCTTCTTCTTCTCCTCCTCCTTCTTCTTCTTCTTCTTCTTCTTCTTCTTCTTCTTCTTCTTCTTCTTCTTCTTCTCCAGTTGAGCCCCTTTACTTTTCATTTCTTACAACACATCTTACATCCATCTTTTTCATTTATCTTCTTTTTCTGATTCAATTCAAAATTTCACACCGCGCCGTCAGATGAACAAGCGCCAGATATTACAATTTCTTCTTTTTTTTTTACCTCCAGTCACGTCCCGGTTTTAGCAGACGATCGAACATCAAGGGGCGTTATTTATGAAATTTATAGCGTTCTATTGATTTTTTGAGACAACCAAATAACTCCTTTTAAAACCATCACAGCAACGTCTTACGACTATCAAAATGCAACTTGTCTTTTCCCCCTCTTTCCAGCAGAGCAATAACACAAAAATAACTACTATTATTGAAAATGTCTTTCCTTTTTACGTTTTTATAAGATCCGCAGAAGCAATTTTTATCAATTGTCTTATTGCTATGCTACTACTACCTTTTATTACTAATTGAGATGCCATGACTGCTTTAGAAATGTTTCGGAAAAAACAGAAAGTTTCTTTTCTTGAGATTTTTCGATTGAAACATGTTACTCACACGTCAATGGCGTTGTGAAAAATGGGAAATACAATTTCATATAAAAGATTTCTTATTTTTGACTTATTTTCAATTTCGGCCTTTTTGGCTTTTGTTTTTTTAATTTGTTGTCGGTGACGTCATGAATTTCTGTTTCTGTTTTTCCTTCCTCGACTAATTTTCTTTTCGTATCTGTTTTCAATTTTAGGACGCATTTTCTGATAACTTTTACAACTCGATGCTTTCTTGATCATTCTTTCTTTCTGTCTTTTTTTTTCTTTCATTCTTTTCCTGTCTATCGTTCTTTCAGTCTTTATTTATTTCTGTCTTTAATTGTCTTTCTTTCTGTCCGTCTTTCTTTCTTTATATCTTTCTTTCTTTCAGTCTTTCTTTCTTGCTTTCTTTCTTTCTTTCTTTCTTACATTCTTTATGCCTTTTTCTTTCTTTCTTTCTGTCATTCTTTACTTCTTCCTTTCTGTCTTTTTTCTTCCTTTCTGTCTTTTTTCTTCCTTTCATTCTTTCTTTCTGTCATCTTTCTGTCTTTTTTTAAGCTTTCTTTCATACTTTCCTTCTTTCTTTCTGTCTGTCTTTCTTTCCGTCTGTTTCTTTCTTTCTTTCTTTCTTTCTTTCTTCCTTTCTTTCTTTCCTTCTTTCTGTCTTTTTTCTTTTTTTCTGTCAATCTTTCTTTCGGTCTTTTTCTGTTTGTCACTCTTTCTTTCTTTCTTTCTTTCTTTCTTTCT